GCCCCCCCCCCCCCCCCCCCCCCCCCCCCCCCCCCCCCCCCCCCCCCCCCCCCGCGCGCCCGGGTTTGCAAGACATGCATCTGTAGCTGTAAGCGATCTGCATGTTTACCCATACGCTATCTAGTGTAACAGTTATTACCATTGATCATTCTGATAGATTGAGCCTATGCCTGGCTATAACACAAAAGGTATTCTAGGATCTAACGTGGATGCAGATGTCGAAACATTTGCATCCGGATATTGTGCATTCAACTAGCAGTCTTAATACCTGGAATCGGAGTCTCTATACCCACGCCATTCACGATCTTATACTCGGGAAATACTATCGTATTAAGGAACAGTCCGCCTCTTGCACTTCGTTTACCACTGCCTGCCCATGTAAGGTGTTGCACGCGTACAAGTTGAACATGCAGTTCGCCTTGCACTTCGGCCATACAAAAGGTCACTGCAGGCTGTTCGTTATCTTCAAAGACTTGAGGTTATACAGACCTCGCTTCATGAAACAAGCCAATAAAACCAAGCCGGCCAGGGCTAGTAGACTAGTATGTAATATACAGAGTCGAGTCAAGCCACCAAGGCCAAGAAGGAATTGGTTGGTTAAGGACATGCAGCCCTAGTTGACCATTATATTCTGAATAGCTTCAATTCCAAACCCAGTTCTCTACCGTTTTTATATAAGGTTTCTGAGACAAAGATAGACTATTGAAAATCGTTGTATTGACACTACAACGCACTGAATATACAGACGGAGTTGCCTATTATGGTTGAGAATATCTATACGTAAGCATGGTCCAATCGAAAGCGTTGATCTGAACGAACCCACATGAGTGATTATAATGTGCTCAATCTCACTCGCGCGGCCTAGTACCCCTGGGCCTGTCTAAGTCTTTTTTTTTTTTTTTTGGTTCGCTATTGGTACAATTGACCGAGTCCTGCTAAAAGCGGCATATCACATTACAAATTCTGGATATACGAACGCGCAGCTCTATAACTCCGAAGAGCACCGGAGGTTATCCAAATAAAAAAAAACTTTGTCAATTGATGCCATTGTGATCAGCGAGTATTGTTCTTTAGGCATTTTGATTATTACGGGTGACTTGGTGAATATAAATGATATAAAGGTCCGGCGCCTAGCTTTGTGAATAACGTATTCTTTCTAGGAAAAAACTGAGAGAGTCTCTAATTTTGGTTGCTATAAGACAATAGAAAACAAAATCGCCTTACCCATTCAGAATGCAACAACTCGGTATCATATTTGTACTTCTGCTCCTCTTCAGGGGGAGCATGGGACAAAACCACCACGACAAGAGTGCAATTCCACCAAGCCAGGACCCGTGGTATACCGCACCGGCGGACTTCGAATCAGCCTCCCCGGGCACCATTCTCCGCATCAGGCCAGATCCAAGCAACATCACTGCCATTGTAGATGCCGCTGCAGCTTATAACATCTTATTTCGGTCCACAGACACCCGCTACCGGCCTTCATGGGCCGTGACAACGTTTATCGTGCCCAAGAACCCATTGGAGGATAGGGATGTCGCCCGAGAATTTGGAGCTGACGATGGCAGAGCGGCTCTACTATCTTTCCAAATTCCTTATAACGCCGCCAGCGTGGATGGTGGCCCAAGTTATCTCCTAGCCACGAATTTCGGTCTAGGCGACCTCGGTATCACGCCCATGACATCTTATATCGCCGACGCGATTGGTCGCGGTTGGTACGGTTCGTCTATGTTGAGATTGCCTGTCTGATGGCGCTGCAAGTTAACATAGCGGAAGTGACTGTGCCAGATTTTGAAGGGCCTACTGCGGCTTTTGGTGCCGGTCCGGTATGTGGTTTCCAATGTCGTATTCTTGCAGAACCATTCAATCCATGTTCTCGAGATGATCATAACTAACATCTAGTTTTATAGCAAGCAGGACATGCGGTGTTAGACGGTATCCGTGCTGTTCTATCGTCAAAAGAACCCAATGGTAAATCCGAGAAAGCCCGATATGCCATGTGGGGGTATTCAGGAGGCTCGATAGCAAGCACCTTCGCGGCCGAAATGCAGGCTTCGTATGCACCTGAGCTAGATTTCGCCGGCGCCGCCATTGGCGGCATAGTCCCAGATCTCACTGAAGTCTTCAGGAAACCAGTTAGCAACGTCTCTTCTGTAATCCCTGCGGGACTGTTAGGCGGTAGGTATCAGTGTAGCTTTCCAAGCTTCCCCGTTTACCTTCGAGGCCGCGTAGCTCGGATCCATCGACAAAGTTCGCTAACCTCTCTCGTTACCACGCGACAGTAACGGCACAGTACCCTTCTGCCCGCGAATACCTCGTCAGCCAGCTGAACCCGTCTGGTCCATACAATGCTACAGGATTTCTGCAGGCGTTGAATTTCAGCGCCTTACAGTCGATTGTATATTTTGGGATCCAAAATATAAGTGAGTATTTCGTGAATGGACTTGACGCCATTTACGAAGCACCTGAGCTTGTTCGCGTCTTTGGGGAGAATGAGTACGAAGGCTACCACGGCATTCCACAGATGCCCCTATTTGTGTACAAGGCGATACACGATGACTGTAAGTCACTTTTCATTTGTAATTTCCTACGTCTATCTTCGCCTCCTTCTACACATACTCGTTTATACATCTTACTCCTCGTCGTACACATAGGCAGTATGTACACAAGATGAGAAAAGCGGTTTACTATCGACAAACAATTTTTTGAAATTAATAAATAAGAGAAAGTAAGAAACTAACTTGTTTTGTTCTCCGTGCCTCTAGCCAACGGTATCGCCACATCGGACGATCTCATATCTCATTATTGCAAAGTCGGTGTCAACATACTATATCATCGAAACACGATCGGCGGTCACGAAGACGAGTTCATTAATGGCATACCACGTTCGTTTGAGTTTCTTTCTGACGTACTCACTGGAACCTACGCAGAAAAGTACAACACCACTGGCTGTACTTGGGTCGATGTGACTATCAACGTTACAGCTCCAGCTACGAGCGACTCCTGAGGTTAGTCGCTTACGTAGTAAGTGGAGGTACAAATGCCCTCTGTTGTAGAAATGTGGGATCAAAGGCTGAAATGTCCAGTTTAGACGAAACATGAATCGGGTTCAAAACTTACCTGAAAAATAGTACTGAGAACTTAAATAAGGAAGATCCATTTATATTCAAGGCAATGTCTGAACTTGGCCAAGAAATTCATCATAGAGAAGGTCGTAACCAAGGTTTGATTTTCACATCGTGTGCATAAACAGACTGCTATTGACAACTAGCGTCGTCTCTTGGACTAAAGCCATAAAATTCTTAAGTGTCTAAATATAATCTCTAAGTAATTTCGCTCGCCTAGGAATGATTTATGGTTCAATCTTTATGGGATCAGAATACTTAGGAGAATGTTATAACGAGGAAGAGACACTGCCCCATGAATCAAGCAGACTGATATAATATTACCTTTATTCCTTTCTCACCGAACCTATAACTAAGATCAAAAGTAGCTGTATAATAGTAAATCAAACCTTCGAGGAGCCCATTATGGAATCAAGCAACCAAACAATCCATCTAATTATTCCCACAGTCTCGATGAAAAGGGCAGCATTCCAAACAGCGGTCCATACGGAGGGCTTGTCAAATGGTTTAATCATTAATTCTAAGAATGATTTGCTATAGCTAGAAAGGTCCATATATACGTATTTAGATCACTTCTGATTGCCGGGTAACCAAGGTATATATAAGCAAAAACCCTGCCTTACAACCACCCCCTGTCACGACCAGGGCCCTAAGCACCCTAAAATGCGCTTTGACTCCCAACTACCTAATTAAACACTACTTAATAATATAACTGCATTTAGGTTTTACAATAACTTTTTACCCTTATTTTGTTTAAAATTAATTCCTTTTTATTACTATGTTTTTTAATTCTAAAAATTATTATACTATAGCTACTATTTATATAGTTTAATTTAAAACCTTAATTTAAGCAGCAATATATATTTAAAGCATTAATAAATTATACTTATATTATTAGCTTTAAAGTATTCCTATTAAAAAATAAACCTATATTAACCTTTAAGCTTTATTAACCTATTATAAATATTAATTAATAAATTAAACAATAA